CTTCCAACCCAAACCATGCTGATTCGGCTAAGCTCTTTCTTCCCTGTAACACAAAGGATCAGTGGTTTCAGGCTCATCTCCTTGCAGAGTTTTCACAAAAATCTTAAACGTTAGGATCTTGCACAGATCTTTGAAATGAAGTTTCACAAAAGCGCTAATTTTTATTTTTGGCTTCTCTGTGGTGTAGCTGCAGGTCAGAAATAGCTCCCATCTGGGGTGTATTCGTCAAGGAACTCCCTTTTCCCCCCAACTCCGAAGCAGCATTTATCAGAGACAATAAAGCCAGGCAACCCACTAATTCCATACCTATCCAAGTGAAAGGCTGCCACTTCGGCATTGTGTCTGTCGTAGCCGGCGTACGGTTCTCCTTCCACTACATAATCCCTGGCATATCTGTAATTGAAATAAGTCAAGTGAGTGATTCAGGCAAGATTCCCGTCAATTTTCACCGCTCACAGTAACCAGTGCAGTATCAGCGCCACGTTAAACAGACGCGGGTCGCTTTCAGAAGGATTGCTAATGGCAGAGGGAAAAATCTTCAGGAGATTCAATAGCATTCAGACTGCCGAGGTCATAAACAGGGAGGAAAGGTCAGTAACGTACAGTGGCCTCGAGAGCCCGGGAAGCAGCGCCACTTCAAACGAACGCACTTTAATTCAACCGTATGCCAGGTGACAGCTCAGAAGAGAGAGCGCAGGCCCAGCTGCAGGACAGGGGACTGTTTGCACTGAAAAGCAGCAGCTCCACACGATTTGGGGGTTCAAATGGATCGTAGATTAACATGAAAATACAGTCAGATACTGTGGAAGAAATGCTGAATACAGTCTGTAGGAGCCAGATCAGCAAGTATGAACCTGAGGAGGATACTGGATATAAAAACAGCCTTGATTCTGGCGGAGAAAAGACATAACAAACAGCAAGAGATAGAAATCAGATGCTCGTTACAACAACGGTATGTTTGGGTGAAGCGGTGGGCTGTTTCTCCCTTTTTTTCCCTCATCTTTCAAGTAGATGTTACTCAAGTAGTCAAGGCAAACACCCATTTCCGAGACTCACGACATCAGAATCGGGTCTGGATCTGCTTAAGAAGGATGCTTAGACGAGCGTAGAATACCACAGCCGATACCAACCCAGCGGCCGAAATGCAACACATTCCCACGTGAAGCACGGCCGCATCAGACGACCTATTTTCTCACTGCCATCTATGCATCAAACTGTATAAACCGGATTATTTCCCACAGCCTTGGGATTCAAGCAGCAGCAGCAAGGGCGTAAGAGAAGCCACAGCGCTACACCTGGATGTTTTAACCCTGCACAGAGAAGATCTGGGGCAGGACAACCGTCCATCCCATCAGTCTGAGCAAATGCTGCAGCATCCCGGCGAGGCAGGTCCAGAGAGAATTAACCAGCACAGAACAGGATGGGGTTTTTGGGACAGATTCCTGCCAAACTGGAACTTACACCAACAAGCATCTTCTTTCCCACATAGCACTGGCTGGTGATGGCAGCAACTATCAGTCATTAGTAACTTAGGCTGGGTTTCAGGTAGCGTTGAGGCCAGGCAGCGAACGCTCAGCGCGAGCCCTCAGTCAGGTCTCTTGCACTTACTTACACCAGGCTTTTGGAAACGTGGCCCCAGTCCGACAGCTGCAGAGCTAAAACCCGTACAACACAACCCAGTTCTTGCTGCCACGCGCAGTAGGCCTCTAGTCCTTCCTACAGCAAAGGCAACAAGGGAATTCCTTCCTCCCCGGCCAGTAAGTTTTCTCAGGTAGGAACTCTGACACGCTTTTTGGGTCAAAAGGTAGTTAAATAGACTGTGTTGCAATGACACAACCACATTCTGCCTACAAGTCACAAACAGCCCTACCGGTACAGCCAGGGCCCTGCAACAAACGGCCTAGTGCTCCTAGAAACACTCCCAGAGCGCGTGTCCGCCACGGAGCGCAGTCACTGCATTCGCCTGTGTGCTGGGTTCAGTCAGGGAAGAGTTAACTCTCTGTACCGTGGCTGCTGTGAAGCTGTTCCTGGATGCAGAGAGCAGCACTGATCAGGTCTCAGCTGGCGCTGGGCAATGCCTGCACCAGATTCAAGGTCTGTCTCCCCTTCTGACCCTGCAGCTGCATTCCCAGCTCTCGCTGTCTCGCTACAGGCAGTGCAGGGACACACAGTTCAGGCACCTGACCCCAACTGACCAAGGGAGTATTTCATTCCACAGTACGTCATGCTGGGGGCAGAGGCGAGGAGGGGTCCGGGAGCCATTACTCGCTCCCTTGCTCTCTCTCTTGTTCGCTCTCACACACCTGCTAACCCTCACCCTGACTCCTGCGTTAGCTGCTTTGCTCACTCCTGTGCTGGTTCGTTTGGGAGGGAGTTGGTGGGTTTGTTCGGTTTTCCCGCTTGTGCTATTACTGAGAGGGTTTGCTTGGAATCTGCTGTGACAGCGCTTGGCCTGCAGTCCTTGGGCTGCAGCTCTCGGGCTCTCTGGGTCTGACTCCCACTACTCAGCACCTGGTTGTGCACTGGTCAGTGGGTGGTGAGAAACTGTATCATATTGTATCACAGACATTCCATTATGGGAATGCGATTTTATGCTCCGTGAAGCCCTTTACGGCACTCCCTCAGCCAGCAAGCTCTATAGACACGCCGTGTCTTACTGCATTTCTTGGACAGGCTGCCTGTCGTTGGGTGTGAAAGGTTCGCGCTGTTCAAACGCAGCCGAGCTCCAGCCACACCAGCAGCCGACCATACAGAGACAGCACTGTGACCCCAAGAAGCCGAGGGCAGATTTTCCTTCTCTAATCCTACATTAACATGACAGACAAACTTCTTGTTGCTCAGCCCGACGCCCTCTGGAGACAGACGTACTCCTCCTGTGATGACAACACTTCACATTTGCAACATGCTCCCACAAAACACAGCTGCCTTCCTTCTCCTTTTCCCAGAAGGCCAACAGTTCAACAAGCTTTACAGACGTGGACAAGGCTCCTCGTAAATGTTCAATCACGTCCACTTTCCCTGCGGATCGCTGTAAACAGAGGCCGAAGTCAGGAAGCATCGCTTACATTGCTCCTCCAGTAGTCGCTCTCAGCAGACAGGAAGCTCAGGGGCTCCCACTGCGACCTACCGAGGTGGTTTTACAGTCTTCATGCAGTTCTTTCCCCGCCCCTGAACTGCACTCTCTCCTGGGAGTTCGACGTGACGCTCACTCAAAGCGTACGCAAGACTCGTCTGCACACTGCCAGACCTGCACTTCCCGCACCAGGACCATACTGCTGAGAAACATGGGGTTTAGCCAACATTCCCTCGGGACCGCAGGCAGCGATTATTCTTTTAACGGAAAGACAGGATGTTTGGAACATCAAAGCTACCGCCCGAGAGACAGCTGGCACGGCGACCTAACGTTACCAGAGCACCAGCAAGGCCCTGCTCTGCCTCAAAAACAGAATGGCCTTTCCAATTACGTGTACATTTGTAACTTCAACATTAATGCAACAACGCAGAGATTAAAAAAAATATACCTAAAGCAGCGATTAATTCAGCCATTGAGGGCAATAGTTACCTCTTGGGTTTGAAGACGACCTTCTGTCCTCCTTCAAGTATTAGCAAAGCTTTCAGTTGGGTCCCTTTGTATCCCACATCAGCTTTTATTATTTTCTTCGTTGTCATGGCGTGCATAACGGCCCCCAGCTCGGGCGTCTCCTCGGGATACACCTCCCGGGGCACCACCCACTGGGCTGCGATCTCCCAGGGGGACTGCAGCGTGTGGTCAAGTCGGGGGTCCAGCTCCACGCGGAGGCTCGCCATCATCCGGTGAAAGGCGCGCTGGTCCTCCCGGTTGGCAGCCGACGTGTCCAGGTTGTCGATGAGGAAAACTTTTGTGAAAATGAAGATGACCAGGAGGATGGCCAAGAGCACAACGCGCTGCTTCAGCTTCATGGTGACCGTCAACCCTTCTCCCCTGACCCCTTCTTCCAGGAAGTCTGTCGGAGATCAGGGTGAGGAAGGGGGTGTTAGTTAATGAACTTCATTCATAACTTGTGCTGCCAAAGCGGTATGGCCACTGCAGCATGTTCGGGGACCCCTGAAAATGAACAAAAAAGGCTTCTAGTTAAACAACTGCACATCCCACCAAACCCAACAGCAAGCTTATTCCTGGAACATAAGTCTGCATTTACTTGTACCCTAAAGCCCAAACATTTCTGGTAAAACACGCCCAGTTTGCCGTCTTCCTGTGGCCTTTCAGTGATCTGAAAGGGGAAACTGCCCGATGGCACCTCTACAGCTGAAAACTCATCCACTGCCATGGGCAAGCCTTCTGCAGAGACCCCCAGTTTCAGCTGATGGCTCCAATTTCACAAACACTTTTCCACCTGTAAGAGAACCCGTGACCTCGGGTTTCCTAAAGGTTTGTTCCTCAAGAGAAAGCTCCCAGGTAGGTTTTCCAACACCTAAAAATGGGCGAGAACGGCTGCACAGCCTGGTTTCTGGGGAGCACAAGACACAAGGACAAAATGGACTTAATTTGTTTACTGCCACTATAACTTATGCATCTTTTTTCCATTAAAGAAGAAAAATGGCAATAAGAAAGAAAAGGAGGACATCTTCACTTCCTTGTGGTTAACTACATATCTTCTGCAGTCAACTGTAAAACCAATAGCCACAAAAAATACACACAGTACCTGTAATCTCGACACCAGATTAACAAGAAAAACCCCATCCCACCAACACTGGCACTTCTCAGAAACCTCAGCTGCAGCACCGCTACAGCCACATCTCAGTTTCTGTATTTACAGCGGCTGCGCGTCACATCTCGCCCCTCACGCCTTGGCCAGGGCAGCGTTGGCGTTTAAGGACCACGTTACGCAGAGTTCATCAACCGTATTTCAATTAAGAGGGCAGAAATTACCATCAGAATGTTAGTTAAATGTTGTCAAACCCCAGATGGAAATGGATCCTGTGGCACACCTCTGAGGAATGCTTTGAGCCGAGAGTTTTCTCCTTGCACAAGCTACACTAGGCTGTGAAAACCACAAACGGCACTGTGGCGGGACTAAGAGAAAAGCCTTCTCATGAGATTCAACACTCAGCGTATACACCAGCCACTATTCACTGGAAAAAGAAGCTGCACGAGCCAAGTTCATTTACCAGCAGTAGCCAAAGGACAGTCAGACTTGGACCGGCCAGCCAAACAGGGATGACCGCCGCCTTGAGGGCCCGCGTGGACATGGTGGCCAACCTGAAGGGGTCGGGGGGGTACAAGGGTTCTAAGAGGCCAGAGTGTTGTTGTGGTACATCTCCATCGAAGATTAAGGCCACGGTCATCAGCAGGTGACTGCAAGGTGCATCCTTTGAGCCTGGAGAAGGCTCTGGGGAGACCATATAGCACTTCCCAGTGCTTGGGTTGGGGCTACAAGGAAGCTGGGGGGGGCTTTTTACAAGGGCCTGTAGTTACAAGGGCCTTTTTACAAGGGGTAACGGGGTTAAATTGAAAGTGGGGAGGTTTAGATTGGAGGACATCAGGAAGAAGTTCTTCCCGGAGAGGGTGGGGAGGCACTGGGACAGGTTGCCCAGAGAAGCTGTGGATGCCCCATCCCTGGAAGTGTCCAAGGCCAGGCTGGATGAGGCTTGGAGCAACCTGGTCTAGTGGAAGGTGTCCCTGCCCATGGCAGGGGGTTGGAACTAGATGGTCTTTAAGGTCCCTTCTAAGCCAGGTTGGTTCAACCACCCAGGTTGCCGACCCAGATGAACGTTAACTGCCTTCCCCGGTTTGCGTGTGAACCGCCTCCGACGGCCAGGTTTTGAGCCACGCGCAGCTGACCATCTGACTACACCGTAGCGTTGCTGGTCCAAGTCAGAGCGACGCGGGAGGGCGGCACAGCAGCAGCAGCGGGAGGTGACCCGCTATCCAGTGTCTACAAAGCCTACCTATCTACAGGGGGGCACTTTAAGCAACTCAAGTCAGCTCTGTCACGCCAAGAACAGCCCTGCCCTCCGCGTACTTGCCACCTTCATGCCATGAACTCTGTGAAAGATCCGATTCGTCAGTTCTCCTTCACCCAAACCCGGTTTCCAACGTAGATTCACAACCATCTGAGGGTACTTCCTATAAAACTCGTCTGCTGAAGCAGGAAAGAAAGTGAAAGTCTCCTAGTGACAATGTGTTAGACCCAAAATGCCAACAAGGGGTTTAATGTTAACAGCAAGCACTCAGAGCAACATAAACGCGCCGTGAGGGGCAGAGGGAGGGGTGAAAGAGGGCTGCCAAGTCCCAGCGATGCTTCAGACTGCGGTCCCCTCTTAGCTATGTACCACTGAGTTCAAGCTATTGGAAAATAAGTGCTTGTAACGATCATAAAAGACAACAAAGCCCGCGTTTATGTGGAAATTACAACCTATTACTGTTCATCTCGGTTCTGTTTAGGCCACCTGTATTTCTCCAAACATCAATCTGCATATCAACGTGCTGCACGCAGCAGAACGAGAAATGCAGATGGGGAAGATGCACCTGGGCTGAGCCCCAAACACACAATTAGTCACTGAGAGAGCCCTAAATACCACGATTATTCTTAAATGTTAGAAAGCAAAGCAGATCAGGCTATCACGGTACCCTCACTGTAATTTCATCATTTCGCTTCTTCAAAACTAGCAATTCTGAATAATTCTGAGCGCTGCTGGTGTCAAGATGGGCGTTCATTCGGTGTTAAAACCCAGCAGAGCTTGTAAGGAGGGACAGGGCAGAGCACAGCTCACCTCAGCCCAGCCACTCACAGGGTGAGGGGCGCACAGGCGTGCTGCGGGAGGGCTCGCAGCCCAGCGTCGCCCGGCTGGAGCACGGGACAGCGATGGTTCCGGCCTCTAGAGCTCAAGCTGCGCCCTCGCTTTCCCAGGCTGACTTTCAGGAATGCTGACTATCTCCAGGGGAGAACATAACTAGAGCCACCACTGAAAGGTCACTTGTTTCATCTTTTGTGACAGCTTGGAAACTCATTTTGGCTGAAAAGCTCCAACTATGCAGACGGAATTTACAGCAAACCTTTACAATTTTTTGGTAAGACATTTGAGTAATTCCCTTAACTGAACCACCAACACTCAGCAAACGTTTCCCCTCCAGTTACGCAATCACTCCCGATACCCAAACCCGCATTCTGCCCTCCGCAGCCCTCAGCAGGTGAGTGGGCTCTGACTCTTCCCTGACCTCTGCCAAAAACGAGTCGCCAGCCGCTTCTTCTCTGCCGCAGAAGAAACCACCCCCGAGGTTGCTGCGCCATCCCTCTCGCACGCTGGCCGCGGAGCCTGCGCGTCGCTCCCGAGGTGCCAACATCCCGCTCCTGACTGAGCCAACGGAAGCCAATCCCTTCATCGAGGGGTTTGCTGTGCAGAGCCAGGACTGTGCTGGTTGAAACCGCAGGGGGCAAGAGCGAGGGTGCTGAGCTTTGGGAGAAAGTCGTCTGAAAAGGACGAGTCGCTGGGGAGCACGACTGGAGAAGAGGATTATGAAAGCTCAGGAAATGTGAAACTGCTCCTGGAATGAGGACGCAGATGAGAAAGGTGGCCAGGGGAACAAATGCAATAACAACAAATCCCCAGAATTCTGCAAAGAGAAAACCAGGGTGAGCTGCGAGCAGAACTCTGTGGAACCAAGGACAAAAGAGTCTGGGACACTGACAAAAGCAAAACCAGGGATAACCCCAGGAGGGCCAAAGAGGAAATAATTCCAGAAACTGGGAGGGGTGAGAGGGTAAGGGAAGGGTCTTAAAGGGGCAAAAGGCAGACGCTTACTGCCACCTAAGAGGTGTGGAAGGTGGGATGCACAAAATGGTACCAGATGCTCTCTGAACCAGAAGGCATCAGCGAAGAAAAAACCCTAAAGAAGCGTTCAGAAGTCAAACGCATTTTAAGCCTCCGGCTAGAGCCGACACGATGCCACACACGACCCCTGTATGCCCACAGGCCCCGAACAGCAGACCTACCCGCCCACTGCTCACAGAATCACAGACTGGTTTGGGTTGGAAGGGACCTTAAAGATTACCCAGTCCCACCCCCTGCCATGGGCAGGGACACCTTCCACTTTGAAACGGAGGACATAATCCAAAGAGTTTCATTGCTTTCCCACCCAAACTGCATCTCTATGTCACACGAGTACACAAAACCCCACTTCCCTCTACCAGTCAGCAATGAACAGCCATACCAGCTCTTTCACAGCGTGGTCAACTGGCAAGTTGGCTTAAGAGATGCTTCTCGGGTTTTAGCACCTCTTCGGGCTCTTTCCCGATCGATTTTATCTCTTGTTACCGCCAGGTCTGTATTTTCAGCCAGTAATGAGTCTTCCACCTCAATATTCAGACAACGTCCTCTAACCATCGCAGGGGGAGTCGCTGCGCAGGCAAACGCCCGAGCCGAAGCGTGCCCGCTGACGTGGAACTCCCAGGTCAGGAGGCGGCATGAGACCCACCTGCTACAAACAGCAGCAAGATCACAGCTACCGGGAGCAGCCCACGATGCTCAGAGGACCACGTCCCAGAAAACGGTTTCCATCGGAAGATCAACATCATACCACTCGTCATGACGTTGGTTTTACATCGCGAAGCCACAAAGCCACCGTCTCAGAAGTGCTCGCGTACCGCCGACGAGGGTTTTGTCATGCTCCGCCTGACATCAGGCCCGCGGGCAGGCAGAGGGCTGGTCTGTCAGCACGGGGACGTACAAAAGTCCTCGCCCAAACAGATGCCAGTTGGAAACAAACACGGCTCAGTACGCTCCGACTCCTGCTCAAACGTGTGTTTTCTCTTCCTAAACACACTAGGATTCCTGGGATCTCCTA